TAAAAAGGAGCAAAGTGCCACACGAGCATCAGTGTGAGCTGGGTGAACTACAGCAGACATGATGTTCACAGCTTGGTCCTTTTAATTCTTCTGTGGCTAAGGACACTGCTCTCTCCACAATAAACATGGCCTGGCAATTTCTAGCTTTTGTTATGATGGTTGTCAGAATCCATGGGAAGAGTATCAAGACAGTTGACCAGATTCTGATGGGTCTCTCAGTTTTGCCACATAAGTTGATTTCAGTATCAAAATAGTTCTGTGTTCCTTGTACACAAGTTGCCATCCATAAGTCAGTTCTGCTAATACCAGTCCTTTGGGGATCTGTCTATATGAGGTCTTTCAATTTTATTTGGTCTAGGTCAGATGCTAAGGTTTTACTTATTTCTGTTGTCTCCTTCAAAATGTATTTAGGTGCTACCAGTTTAAAAGGCCGATTTGTCCACTTTCCAAGACTTTGAAACCTCTCTGTGCTGAGAAATAATTTCTCACTCTCCCACTTGGACTTTACTGACTGAATATACTGCTGTACACATTCACAGACAGAATGTTTATTATTTTTATTGAGGTATTTTGCATAGGGTAATGATCACAGGGGGAATCAGATCTCTTGACCGAGATGGCTGCCCGGATGCTGATGTTGCAAACATCCCTCAATGGTGTCTTCAGCTAGATGGACTGAGACTCCCCAAACTGCCGTTCCAGTGAATTCTATGTGATCGCTACAGTATATGGATGATCAGTTCTTGTTGATTATCTTAAACTATGTAAGGAACACATCTTAACTGTGAACAAAAGACAGCCCCACATGCCCATCCTTGCACAGGCATGAACGATTTCCACTGAATATATAAAATTATGCATAGTTTGGTCAATTCCTTAATCGACAGCAGGAGCTGCTTGGTGAAATCCCTGGCTGTGCACCGGATCCTTCACCCCAAGTGGTTATGCAATATATCTAAACATACAGATAGCATCTATCAGCTTACGGAGCAGAACTCCTGTGTATCACCAGGAGCTCCCTGGGGAAACCTCTGGCATGGCCCCAGCTGCTGGGAGACCTCCTGCAGCAATCAGTTGGCTGTTTTGTTGTCAAGTGGCTGGCAGCTCAGTTGATCTCCTCATTGCCAAGCTACCCTAAATTTCAGTGAGTTTCTTCTTTGCAGATCCATCTGTTGTCTCAGCTACGCAGTGATCAGCTGGAGAGCTCCTGGACCAGGCAGTCAATTAATGACTACGTGGCCTTGGCAAGCACACAGGCAAAGCCTTCATACCCAGCTGCACGATGACTGTAACTATAAACTTTAATTTCATCTTTTTATCACAGCAGTAACTTAAATTCCTTTGATTTTGCCATAATATCTGAACTGTTGACTGCTGTTTCTGCCTTGTATCCTCCACAGAAAAACACTCACTATTTTCTCATCCTCACATTGGAATGCTCAAAAGCATGATTTAAAGAGCAAGAGGCAACAGGTGGTTTCCTAAGACCCTTCCTTTCGAGCGGCTTTAACAGAGCCGTCATTTTGAGAGCACAGCATCCCTTTGAGCAAGACATGTTGTCATGTCAGTGGTCTTCTGGCAGCTCCCATTTAGGCAAAAGAAGTGACAGGAGGCCAGACCCTCTCGGCTGCTCTTCTTTACCTGCCCCCCTTCAGGAGGATTTTCTAAGGAAGATTTCCCTTTTCTAGCACTCAGTCCAAGTTCTGTGAAGCCCAGAGTGTGTTTTGTGTTTCTCTTTGTAGTGCATGCACCCAGGACAGCAGCTGTATTGCACAACAGACAGACCAAACAGAACGTGTTTTCTGCTTTTATTGAAAGCACAAGATGTCTCAGGGCGTTCCCTTCCCTGTGTCTAAATGCAGAAAGTCATACGAACGCAGCTACTGCCCTGCGGGGTATGGACTGGCGACAACTTACCTGTGATGACGAGGGATGGGTAATGCAAAGGATTGCATCAAATGCAAAGAGATTAAGGATGTTTTATGAAGGGAACAAGGACTTCCAGAGTGTCTGAACAATGTCCTAGAGCAGCTAGATTGTAGTTCTTCACAGAGACCAGGAAGACAAGAAAATCCACACAGGGAAATGAAAAGGAGTCGACATGCAGAATGAGACATCTGAGAGATTATGGAGGAAGGCAGAATACCCTACGTAACAGACAGACAGAAAGAATTGCCCCAGCCTTTCATTCGGATGGTCATCTTTCATCACACATCTTTAGTTAAGGCTGGCGCACTTACCTGTTTAACGATGCTGTTCTTTCTTCAAGAAAAAAAACCCCACTTTCCAACATACTCTCCTCTCAGCACCAAGATCAAAACTTTTTACATGGCAATTTAAAAATTGTCCAATTTGTAAAACCTTAAAATTGTGCAATCTGCTTGGAAAGTTGGAATAAAATAGCAAATTCCACTCTTCCCACCCACCTTGCCCAAGGTGCTAAACAGTGTAGCAATATGTAAGTGTATTTATTGTTATTTTTTGTTTAACAGGTGAGTGAACATTTTCATAACAAAAATAAGTTCATTAAATACTTTGAAAACAAATTATTCTTGCATTCTACATATATATGGGCATTTCCAAACAAATAACCAATCCAGAACAAAAGCTGTTGGGCAAGATAAAACTCACAATAGAACTTTCAACATAACAACCTACAAAGGGGGTAAGTTTCAAAAATACCTAACACACCAATAAACGTGAGTTTTGGTAGAAACTATCAGGACCGATGCTTCTAAACCAGTTACACATTTTTAAAAATCCTCCTCAAATAACTCTTCAGTCGTAATATACTGATCTGCAAAGGGTCCATGAATTAGTTGTACAAATAATTGACACTTCTAAAAAAGTGAAAATGAGTATCAAACATTCATTACATTGCATCCAACCCTGTACAATCCAGCATATGATGCTTCAACCTCCACAATTATAGTGAAAAAAGTATTCTACCCTCTTGATTACATTTTCTTTAAACATTCTGAGTGATGACAGTGACAAACTATGAAAAAAATGAAAAAGCGTAAGATGTTCGATCTTTTAATACCAAGAACTAAGGAATATGTACATATCCAAGGCATGATCTCAAACACATTGGCATTGATTCACCGGCTGTCAGCTGAGTTGCTTAACTGCCTGCACATATGCATGAAATGCACCACAGCTGTGTGGTCAGACACTTTCCACATCCTGGAGGAATTACACACAGGGTAAGTTACTCAAACTAATTTGTTCTACTGGGCAATTGGGGCATGTGCATACAGCCAGCTACAGCAGCTTGGCTCAGGCTGTGATACAAGAGTAGTAACTCAATTGCATTCTCACCTCCCAACCCACATACGCTTGGCATCCAGACAAACTCTGGACTTCATGGTGTTTGTGATGATATCTTTTTTCTTCCAGGTCTGTCTATCTACTACAACTTTATTAAAAAAAAACCAACACAGTACATAAGAGACTAATAAATCAACACAACAGTATAATTACCACCACCAAGGTGAGCAAGAAACTGAGCAGCCAGGAAACATGTATTCTGTTTGATTTTGTTTCATATTAGGTATTTTTGCTGAGTAACTGCATTAGGTTGCACATACTACTTCAAAAGATTTATCTGCTGTCTTCTGTGCCCAGACTGAAAGGAAACCAGGAGGAAAGAATAAGAGAAAAACCCACATCTGCTGGAGTTCTCTGTTAAACTTGGATGGGCATTCACTTCGCTGGATTGCTTCCGAGCCACGCAGTAGCTGATTGCCTAGAGCAAAAGTGTTTGTCAAATCTAGCCCACAGTAGATAAAGAACTGCTAATTAAAGAACTGACAACCTACCAACACTAATCAAAGCCAAGTAACAGAGAAGACTGGATGTTATAAACAAAAGGCTAAACAATGTCCCTTTGAGATCTAAGGCTGGATTAGAAAGAAGGAAGAAAAAAGAAATATTCTCCAAAACACATGGCACATTGGAAAAAGAAAGTGGCTCCTACTGCTACAAGGACCCAAAGACTACTCAAATTTTTAAGGGATTTCAAGCATGGAAATGCATTGTTGTTTTGTTTTGTTTGTCATTTGTTTTTCTCTAGATCTGTTTGTTTTACTGTGCTAACTAAATTTGAAAGCCCCTTTTCTTAAAAGTTTGCAAAGCTTGTATATCTGTAAGCTTTCATGGTCATGTGTACATGAAATGGTGAACCATAAGCTCAAAATTTAAGAGTTGTGGAAAAGTATACTTCAGCTCTGGGAGAACTGAGACAGTCAGAGAGGGAGGTAGTGGCTACCAGTGCAGGTTGCATTTAGGTTCCTATCTGCACTTAACAAACAAGACCTGTCCAAGGAACAGAGCCAGGTGCAATGGCTGTAACCCACGGAGGTTCCTGCAAGCTAACCGGGTAGCAGCCAGTGTGCTGGGATGCAGAGGCAGCAGCAACCGGAGGCAGGCTGTCAAGTTACAACTAAAACCTTGACTGAGGAAAAAATGTAAGTATTCTTAATATATCTCCAGGATGATGAGAATATAACTTTGAGTTTATACACTCTCTAGTATTCAAGCATGGATTTCTAGCTCCATGGAGACTTTCATCAATCTCTTTCTTTATGTGTTATTTTAATTAGCATCTTTTGGATGTTTCACTCATAAAGTACTACTTATATATTAAGCTGGAAGACAATGCAAGACTGATTAATTTGAAACATGATCATACTATTCCCCTCCTCAGAATACTAATACGTACATTTATATACATACACATTCACACATATACATGTTTATATAAATGTACGTATATACACATAGGATTTATGAGGCAAGCAGCTTGCTCCAACACAGTCTCTTCCAAACATCTGCCTCAAAATCAGTCTTGCTTAAACAAACAAACAAACAAATTAAAAAGAAAACAAAAAAAAGAGCATTGAGACACCGTAAAACACCAGGAATAAGGAGCACAATGTGCTACTGCACTTGGGGGAGACAAATCCCACTTCTCTGTTGATGGAGTATGACCATCAACTAGGTAAATCACTCTGAATGGAGTTCTGTTTTGCTGCTTCTGATACCTATGGAAGCTGGCATATCTCTATACTACGCTGCAGTCTGCAATACAAACACACTCACAGAGTTTAAGAGCATGCGTAGCTCACTGGAGCATCTGTTGTTAGTGAAAGGAAAGGCACCAACACTGCACGTGTCCCATGCAAATACAAGTGCAACAACGAGGAGAAATGGAAACACAGTAGGAGAATTTAACAGCTTCAGACTACAACTGTGATTGTCCCTACTATGCACAGTGGATCCAAGAAATCCCACTACTTCCCCTACTTATCGTTTTCCTAACATGGCCTTTTCTGCCCTCTTGAACTTCTGTAATTCAATAGCTAGTTCCCAATATCTCAGGTATAGCCACATAAGTCTTCCATTTTGAGTTTTGTTTCTGTTCAGCAGATTGCCACAGTAGTTATCATGTTTGAAAATATCTTTTAAGCCACTTTCCATATGTAGAGCCACAGCAACAGGATCGGTTGCTGCTTTAACTAGCAGATTTTTCTCTACTTCTAGTCTCTGGCTTCTGGGTATAACAAGACTGCAGTAGATGTCCTGTCTTTCCTTAAGTCCCTCTTCAAAGTCTTTTAGTAAAATATTGGCTCTCTTTTGCCACTCTTCTTCCTTTGCCAGACAACTTTGGTACAGGTTACCTTCTGCTCCTGAGTGCAAAAGGACTTGTTTTTCTCGGTCTAACTTCTCCTGCTCCTGTTCTAGGATCCTTCTTTCTTCTACTAGTTTGCGACTCTGGGACACGAGGGCTTCACGGTAACTCAAGGTTCTGTTGCGCTCCTTTTCAAGCTCCAACTCCAAATGAGCAACTGTGCGACGATTTTCTGTGATTATATCCCGGTATTTGGCTTCCAGGTCTTTTTGTAAAGATGAATGTTTTTTATAATATTCTTTTTTTTCTCTTTCTATTTCTTTTTGACATTCTCTGGTCCAGATCCAACCTATCATACATAAATGAGACTTCAGACACGAGCATAACACATATAACATTGATGGGTGTGATTAATTAACTATGCCTCTAAAGAAGCTATTAAGTGGTAAAAAACTTTCTTTCCTGCCCTCTCCTGTGATATTCGCTTCTATTCACACGCAACACAAAATGTATTTCTGTGGGCTCGTGTTTCACAGTAAGTCACTTTAAATTATCATGTTTCCTTTGAAGTAAAATCTCCCCTAGTCTTTTATTGCTAATACATACACTTCTTGGATTAAAGAAGGAAAACAAAGTTATGGGGAAATAAACTGGAGGTTTCCAATGCAGGAACTGCACTGAGAACTCTCCAGGTCCACTAAATAAATATACAGCAGCAGCTCCTTGCGTTGTCACCCTTGGGCTCTCTAGCACATCATATGTCCACTCTTCTGAAAGAGTTTTGTAAATTGAAGCTTACTAAATATGGACTCAATTCCACGTGTGAAAAATGGCCATTACCTTAATGCTATAAACAGTGCTTACTGATACCTGAACACTGAAACAGTGTTTACTGTTTGTAACATCATAAACGAGCAGACCAGAGGAAATCCCTAGATGGGGTATTACTTTATCACTGTACTGCTTCAGAGATTCCCCTTTGGCTGGCGGGTGAGACACCCAGTGCTGCCACACGCTTCAGCTCCAGCCCAGAGGCCTGGGTGCTACTTACGGAAGGCAGCCAAGCCCAGCATGGGGACCAGCAAGGCGTAGTTCCATCTGCTGCCTTCATCCCCGGGCTCTCGTTGATTTGGCAGGATGTTCCAGTTTGGAGGGTCATTTAAATTATTCATGAAGGCACCTTAGATTTACAGGAGAGAAAAGCGGCCTTAGCAGCACGCAGAGGAGCAGGGCCGCTCCCACAGCCACCCGCTCACCCGGCCTGGCTGCGGGACAGGTGTCTCTGCCCGAGGCACTCAAATGGTGGCCCCGTCACTTGGCAACTTTGCGCGGACGCGACTTCGTCCAC